CAACATAGGGCAGCTCCTAATTCATCCTCAGAGTCTCTGTCACATTGGCGGGGGACAGTGAAGGGGTGATGGGTTGTAACTCCATGAAACATGCCTGTAGGAAACACAGGAGTTCTGAAGCATCTTGGCTGGTGGAAGCACTGGGTATGAAACACCCGGGCACATGTTCTCACTGTCTTCTGATCCAGTTTTGACCACAAGAACTGTATCAATGTTTGGGGCGGGGGTAGAATAGGAGAGGGGTGACTACTTTCCCACCTGGGATATGAACTGAAGGCCCAGCAGTTTCATCTATTAGACCATCTAGGGAGCTCAGGTGCTCTAGTGGGTAAAGAGAAACACTGCCACCCCAAAAGCTGACAGTTTGAATCCACCAGCTTCTGCTAGGGAGAAGATGGGACAGTCTCCTCCCATGTGTTTTACAACCTCTGAAAACGTGCTAGAGAGTCAGCTGTGGGTTGCTTCTGACTCAGTGGTAATAAGTGAGCCCACCAAATCCATAACAATCTTCTGCGCTCTGGAGTGGGTTTATCTGTGCATTCATTTAGTGTTAACAATGTGCTGCTCTCTGAAATGGGAATTCCCTGGGAAACAGTGTGTGCTGACATCCTAGCTAGAAGGTTGATAGTTCAGATCCACCCAACAGCAGTGTGGAAGAAAGGCCTGGCAAGCTACCTGTTAAGATTAACTTTTTTTGCTGTTGAATAGACCCTGACTCAGGGATCCTATCTGATAAAGGGAAACTGCCCCATAGGATTTCTGAGGCTATAATGTTTACAGGGAGCTCTGTTGGCCTAGTGGTAAGAATCTGCACTGCAATCCCAAAGGCACATGGTTCAAATCTGCCAGCTGCTGCACGCACAGGAGGATAGGCAGTCTCCTCCTGTGCAGTTACTGTCTCTGAAAATCGGCTGAAGAGTTAGCTGTGGGTCAGTTTGGACTTGATGGTACACAACAGCAGCAGTGTTTACAGAAGCAAATTGCCACATCTGTCGTCTATGGAGGCACAGGTCACTATGAACTGTTAACGTTTGGGTTAGCAGGCAGGTACCACTGCTATACCAGCGCTCCCTCTGTAAGATGATACAGCGTTTGAAAATCTTATGAAGGTTCCATTCTGAAACACATAGGATTGTCATAAGTCACAATTGACTTGATGGCATTGAATGAACAGATTTGAAGTGTTTGGGGGGGGGAATCAATAATTTGAGACAACTATTAGCAGTTCTGGAGAGCTCTGGTGGCCTAGTGACAAGATGTTGCACTGCAATCCCAAAGGCATGCAGTTCAAGGCCACCAGCTGCTCTACGGGAGAAGGATGGGTATTCTCCATCCATGCAGTTAACTGCCTCTGAAAACCTGTCAGAATCTGGTCAGCTATGGATTGCTTCCTACTCAGCGTACACCACCAGAGTACAAAGGCACCTGTGGCATAGTGGTTAAGTTTTGTTACTTGTTGCTGTGAACAGCAGCTCTTAACCCTGCCCCATCCTGAGCTGATCTCACTGTCTCTGACACAGCTACCCTATTATCCCAGCCACTGAGGCAATCCATGTCATCCGGGATCTTCCTCTCCTGCGTTGTCCCTCTACCCGCCAAAGTCTGTCAGACAGAGCTTCACAGTCCTTGTGTCATCGGCTGCTAATCGAACTCCTGAATCACTCTGTAGGAGAAAGTTGTGGCAGTCTGCCTGTGTAAAGATTACAGCTTTGGAACACCCCATGGCGCTGCCTTACCCTCCCCTGTACATTCTCTGGGCTGGAAAACCCCAAGTTAGGTTTGAGGGGTAAGTGATTCTCGGTGCCAATGAAGAAGATTTTTATGGCTCATCCTCAAATAATCCCAAGGGTGTTTCTATCAGGAACTGGTACCAGAAAGGTGCTGCCCGCATGTCTCAGCAGTGTACTTAGAAGACTCAGGGAATGCAAAGGCCTTTTTAGGTCACCAGGGCGATTGACCATTTTCTAGGCAAATCTTAATGTCTATGGAGAACCTCTCCTTTGAAAGATGATAAATAAAATGTTCTATAGATATTTTGGGCATCTTTGGATGACACAGCTGGTTTGGGGTCCGTAAACGTTGGCAGTTCAATCCCACCCAGAGGTGATTTAAAAACAGGTCTGGAGATCGGCTTCCAGAATATCACAGCCTTGGGATCACTCTGTGTGGAGCAGTTGTACGCCGCACGCAAGGAGTCACCAGAGCCTGAGTCAACTCAAAGGCAGCTAACGCCACATTTTAAGGCATACCCCAACATGCTTTCCTTTAACCTAAAACCAGCATTGCTGGGAGAGACATCATGATGGATTCTTCTAGCAAAATATGGGAAGGGAAGTGAGGAAATGAGAGCTTATTGGATGGTTAGGTACATATGGATTCCCATATGGCAAAGGAGAAAAATTATGTCATGGTTTGAAAGCTGCCTCAAGGGACAAGGAGGAGAAGAGTCATGGGGATGACAAATAAGGTCTCCACCCTTTTCCTGCATTTGACGTGCTGACCCCTTGTCCTTTGCACTCAGGCTGCCCTATGGGACTTCAGTGTTTCCTTGTGGTGATTTTAAAGATGATCCTGAACCCTCTCGTGACTTGACCCCAAGTGGATTTCAGAACTCTATCCCATATTTGGTCTTTCCCATCTGCTGATCTTCCTCAAGAAGCTCTGGTGGTGTGTTAGCATGTGCTGTTAGCTCTAAGATCGATGGTTCGAATCCACCAGTTATACCATGGAATAAAGAGAGGCCGTCTCCTGCTATAACAGTTCACAGCCTTTTGAATCCTGAAGGAAGGTTGCCATGAGTCCAAACTGAATCAATGACACATTATACATTAGTCTTTCTCAGAGAACCCTGGTGACACTGTGGGTGACATGTTAAACTACAACCAGAAGGTTGGAGGTTCAAACCAACTAGTAACTCTGAGAGATAAAGATGTGAAGTGTGCTTTCATTGGGATTCATAGCTCTGGGAGCCTCGGGGGGCAGCTTTGCTCTGTCTTGCATGGTCGCTGTGAGTGGGAGTTGTCTCAATGGCAGTCATTTTAGTTCTTTTGCTTCTGGTCTCCTCAGCCCAGCAGCAAGATCTCACACTTATCCTGCCCCATCAGAACTGAAGGAACTTCTCTACAAATGACTAGGGAGCTCTGGAGACCGCGTCCCAGGGAACTGTGCTGCCTTCTGAAGGCCAGACCATTCCAGTGGTTCAAATCCACCAGGGGTTCTGCAGAAGAGAGATGGCCTGTCCCCTGTGATTTGCCGTGTCAGAAACCCAATGGAGGGTAACTCGGCGCCCATTATGTCTTGATTGCAATGAGTTTGCAATCAGTTACCAGCAGTGCATTCTTAGTAAACACTAGGAAAACAGATTCTTTCTTCTACTCATTGACATGAAAGTCCTTAAAGGGTTGGAGTTTAGAAATTGGCAATGGAGGAAAGCATCCTTGAAAAGGTCCGTTTAGCATGGCCACAAAGGATGAGTTCACTAAGTTCCAAAGCCAGGGAACAGCATTTTAGACAGAAGGAACAGTACTTGCAAAGTCCACACCAGAGTAAAAAAAGCCAGCATTTCTTCCACAACTCACTCTTTCTTTCTTTCTTTTTATCTTCTTTCTTTCTTTCTTTCTTTCTTTCTTTCTTTCTTTCTTTCTTTCTTTCTTTCTTTCTTTCTTTCTTTCTTTCTTTCTTTCTGTCTTTCTCTCTCTCTCTCTTTCTATAAAATCTTTGAACTTGTCACAAAAATCAGTAGATTGGGTGCACTCTGCATCTGGGCATTGTGCTGGGTTATAAATATGCTGAGAATACAAAGATCGATATGACAAAGTCTCTTAGGTAGTAGAAAGACATGAGTACATTGACTACTTTCCAGCAACTGCATTACTTACGATGCAAACAGTTAACACATTTAGCTGCTAACTCTGAGGTTGGAAATTCAGGTCCACCCAGAGACAGATCAGAAGACAAATCTACTTCTAGAAAGTCAGTCATTGAAAATCCTCTGGAGCAGAGTTGGACACACCCACGGTTGTCTTACTTGAATCTTACTTGCCTGGCTGACACCCCTCCTTTTTTTTTTGTTCTTTCATTATCCTCAGTCCTTTATACAGTGAACTGATCATGAGGCCCAGCACTTGAAAACAAATGCTGGATTAGAGAGAGACAGGCCAACAGAGAGGTTGATGAAATGGGCCAGAGGAGACTCCAGTGTTGAATGAGGAGTAATTGGAATGGGGACTAGTTATACAAGTGGTCAATCCATTAATACTATTTTATTCCACTCTAACTAACCCTGTCACTTCAAGCATCTGCCTAGCAAATACAAAGCTCATGGGACTTCCCTATGTTTCTGAATCACAGCTGCTTTGAACAACGCAGTGGCTCAGCTGTCAGTGAAGAAAGCCTGTTGGTGGTTGGAAGTGAAAGTTACTTTTTATTGGCTTCACTGCGAGTCGGGGTTGGTGGAGGTGAATCTTGGAGCTCAGTGGTTCTTGATGTCAGATCCCTTAGATGCTGTCGGGAGCCAGTGGAGTCGAGTTGATTCCAGCTCATGGCGACTTTAAGTGACTGAGTAGAACTGTCCCGTGTGGTTTGCTAGGCTCCCATCTTTATGGAGGGAGCTCTGGTGTCATCGTTCATGGAAAGTTAATGAGTTGCACTGTTAACCCAAGGACTCTGTGGTAGTTCTCCTACGAGAAAGGCTGGGTGGTCTCCTCGCATGCGATTTATAGCCTCGGACACCAGCTAAAGGGTCACCTGTGATGTGATTCCATCTTGACAGCAGTGAGTTGAGTTTGAATCTTTATGGAAACAGATTGCCGTGTGTCTCTCAGAGCTGCTGAGCATGTTTGAAGCGCCTTTCGCTTAGCAGCTGAGAGTTTAAGTGTTTGGGCCACCTGGGCTCCTTCAGTCCCTTGGCTGTGTTTTGTGACTCCCGAGGCCCCCTCCGGTCCCCCACCTCACTCTGGCCCCTGCCTCTGACCTGCCCCTCTCTCCCCCTCCGCCCCCAGGCATGGAGAGTGCAATCACGCTGTGGCAGTTCCTGTTGCAGTTGCTGCTGGACCAGAAACATGAGCACTTGATCTGCTGGACCTCGAACGATGGTGAATTCAAGCTCCTCAAAGCAGAAGAAGTGGCCAAACTGTGGGGACTCCGAAAAAACAAAACAAATATGAACTACGATAAACTGAGCAGAGCCCTGCGATACTATTATGACAAGGTAAACTTGACCTTGCCGAAGGCTGGGGGTGAGGGTGGACGCTCCCTCCCGTCTCATTTATGAAAACAAATATGCTGTGTGGTGAATCCAACTAAAAAAATTAAACACATCATTTGTGCAGTAATTCTTTTGAAGAAAATGAGCATAGTTTAGTTTATATATCTGTAAAACTCTGGTGGCCTGGTGGTAAGGAGTAGTGCTGTCAGACCTAAGACCCATGGTTCGAATCCAATAGATTCTCCATGGGAGAAGGAGGCTCAGTCTCCTCTCATGTAATTTATAGCCTCTGAAAACCTGTTGGAAGGTCAGCTATGAGGCTCCTATTCAAAAACATATGACAATAGTCTATGTATATG